TGATTTAAAGGGGTTCATTAATGTTATTTGTCAACACCTTTAACTCGTCCACAAGTGGGAACAAATCCTCTACATTAATAAACACGTAAAGATGTCCTTATAGCTGTGTACACTGATTTTATTGTGTGTCGTAATGTATTTATTAAAAGTTAGTGTCCTGCTTATGAATGATAAACGGGTAAAAGTAAAGTGTTACCTAAAAAAGAAATGAACTTTTCAACCACATAGTCCCCAGTCGTAACCGCTTTAGGTGTTGTATTATGAGTTATGATGTTTGCCATAGGGCTGAATGAACTCAGCCCAGGATGTCACTGTAAGCATGTAATAGAGTTAACACCATGCCGTCATGTGGCTGTTGGGCCTGTTGCTGCACATTCAAAAAGAAACCCCATTACAGTAAAATAACAAAGAGCTCACAGTAACATTACAGCACTCTCTGTCCTCACATTGTCCCTCTCCATTCTCCACAGCTTCCCTTCTCCTCCTGCCCCAGCCCAGTTTAGGAAATGAAGTGTTATTAGTCAGCCAGTCCTTCTCTTTTTTCCCTTCCCAGAACCACAGTGGCAGGCAGCGAGAGGATGGGAGGAGGAGGAGAGAGGAAGAGGAAGATAAACATCACATAGGAGGGTCGGAGGAGGGGGGAAAAAATTGGGAGGGCGCAGTGTCCAGCTTCTCCACCGAACAGCAAACCAACAAGAAAGGTAAGAACAAACCAGAACCTCCATGCAAATGCACTCAGGCGGACCTGTGTCAGTCATTTGACTTATAGAGCCAGCAGATAGGAGATGAAAGGAAAGGTCTGAGCGGGTTTTTACTGAGAGGGGATAGAGAGGAGACAGCACTGACATGGGGTGAGCGTTACATAACGCCCGACGTACATGAAATATTCCTCTTTTTTCTGCATTTTTATCTCATTCCACTACGTCAAGAGGACGTTTTGAGTCTTTTTTAACCTTAATGGCTCGCTGTAGAAGGATTAGGATGTAAAACTGTCGTGTTTTGGGTGTTTTTTAAAGCCTTATATTCATGACTAAGCCGTAAATATGCAGCCACTGAGCGCCATTGGTCGCATTTTTTGTGTTTGCTGCCGTCGTCCGTGCAAAGGCAGGCATCTTTACGTACAGATAAGAGACATCCACCCAGCAGCTGGATTATTTTGGTATTATTTTTCTATTTCTTTCCTCGCGTACTGATGTTTTTGCATGGGTAATGTGCTGATACATTAACAGATATCCATCCGCATCATTCTCAGCCACTGTAGATTATTTTTTTTACTTTTAAAATTCAGCTCTGGAGGGATAAATATGGCGATTTGTTTTTTGTTTTTTACATTAATAATCAGTTTTTTTTTT